TCGTGATCCTCAGCCCCTCCGAATCCAAACCTGCCATATAAGAGACCCTGTGTCGGGTGGAGCTTGGGATCCTGAGAGAGATGGGATGGGTGGGGAGTCCCGAGCCCTGGCCGCAGTGAGAGAGGCTGCTCAGCGACTCCAGGGTGTCCTAGCAGGTGAGTGGATGAACAGGAGTCAGGGAAGGCTGAGGAACAGAGGGAGCTGAGGCAGAAAACCCCCACAGAAGAGGAACGGGAACTCTGAGATACCGAGGTGAAATGGACCTTTCATCTTGTTTAGTGCCTCCAGTGCAAGGACCCCTGCTTTTGAGCCGAGACCCTGCACAGTACTGCCATGCTGTCTGGGGAGACCCAGATACTCCGAACTACCACAGGTGAGTTCATGTCATTGTGAATGTATACAATGCCTCTTCAGGTCCCCAGAAATGTCTCCAGCTTACTACAGATGTTCATTCTTTGCAGATGCAGCCTCTTGAACCCAGGGTACAAAGGAGAAAGTTGCCTGGGTGCAAAGGTGAGATTACATTCTCAGCTTTGGAGATCTGAAGATCTAGAGCCTGCTTAGATCTCTCCAAGACCAACAGCATCAGAATTACTTAATGTGCCCCCTAGCAATACAGGTTCCTGAGCCCAGTGTCCCTTTGGCAATTTATTAAATCAGAAATTTGGGGGAGGGTGGGTGGTGGTAGAATTCCTCATTCTAACCAGCCACCTAGATGACACTAAGACACACTGGACATAGAAACTCTTTGCCCCTCACTCCTAGTACCCAGTTTCCTGTTGTCATATCTTCCAGCCCATCTGCTAATTTAGATGTCACATTTCACTCCCTGCCAGATCCCTGATGCCCATCTCCGTGGTTATGCTTTGTGGCCAGAGCAGGGTCCCCCGCAACTGATCCAGCCAGATGGGCCTGGGGTCCAAAATACCGATTTTCTCCTGTATGTGCGGGTTGCCCACACTTCCAAGTGCCACCGAGAGGTGAGGTTCAAATCAAATCCCTTTTCCCTACTCTGCCTCTCTTAATCTTAAACGAGGGGCAAGGAGCATAAAAGCAGTTTTTATTAAATTGTGCTTATTTGGCGTAACTTTGGACATGCTGATGAAGTTTAGGTGAGGGTTAAAAACCCTCTAAAGTTTAAACCATCCCTTGGTAACACTGAACCTCCATTTTCAGGAAGATTTCTTCTATGTTACCCCATTTCTCCCCTTTCTGCCCATACATTGTCCTGACTCATCCATCCACAGCCCTCTATCATTGCCTATGCTGCCTGCTGCCAGCTGGACTCAGAAGACAGGCCCCTTGCTGGTACCATTGTCTACTGCACCCAACATCTCACCAGCCCCAGCCTCAACCATAGTGACATCGTCATGGTGACTGCTGTATAGTGACAGGTTGGGTGAGGTGGGGCAGGTCACTCAGCTTCCCATGAAGTGGAAGAACCTATTAAGGATGGAATAGGCTCCGGGGCTTCACTACGCACACCTGCCCTTCCCTTGTCTTCCCTTCCCTTCCTTTCCCTTTTCTTCCTTTCCCTTGTCTTCCTTTCTGTTCCTTTCCCTTCTCTTCTCTTCCTTTTCTCCTCCACCTCCCCACCCAAGGCAAGTTGCCATTAGCTTCCTCATTCCCAAGCTCCAAAGACCCTTTCATTATCTCAATAAAAGGTGTCTCAAGTTCTAAGAAGTGATGGGGCAGAGGGGCTATAGAGTGGCTGGTTAATCCTGCTGCAAATCCAGTTCCCTCTCTCTGCTGTCATTTGTCCTTAGGCCACACTACACGAATTGTTCCATGCCTTGGGTTTCTCTGGAGAACTCTTCAAGAAGTGGCGGGATTGTCCCTCAGGACCCAGCGGTAAATGAGAGGAATGAGGAAGAGGCCTTCCCACAATGTCAACTACAAGGAATCACTACTATCTCATGAACTTCTTCCTTCCAATTCCACCTCACCTTTCCTCATATTGCCTTCTCCCCTTTCTGTACTCAGTTGGAGAGAACTGTCCTACAAGGCAACAGGTGACAAGGCGAGATGAGTGGGGACAGCTGCTTCTCACCACCCCAACTGTTAGCCACAGCCTGGCCAAACACTTGGGAGTGCTAGGGGTTTCACTGGGTGCCCCCTTGGAAGAAGAGGTGAGAATAAGAACACCTCGGGGTGATGGAAGGAAGAGGGAGTAGCCAGGGAGTGCTAGGGGTTTCACTGGGTGCCCCCTTGGAAGAAGAGGTGAGAATAAGAACACCTCGGGGTGATGAAAGGAAGAGGGAGTAGCCAGGTAGCAACCGGCTAACTCCTCCACTAGGGCCCTTTGTCTTCACACTGGGAGGCCCGACTACTCCAAGGCTCTATAATGACCGCTATCTTCGATGGCGCCCAGCGCACTCGACTAGACCCGATCACTCTTGCTGCTTTCAAAGACTCAGGCTGGTACCAAGTCAACCACAGTGCTGCCGAGGACCTGTTGTGGGGCCATGGTGAGAAATACGGGAGCATTACAGAGGACACACATGACCGAAGTCAGCTTAGGGGAAGTGAGAGAGGCTGGAAAGAATATCAGCTGCTAAGGTGAAATGGAGGCTGTAAGCATAGCTAGCACTGGAGGAATGTTTGGGGCTTCATTTGTTTTGAATGTTCTTTCTCCCTATCTCTCAAAAAGGATCTGGCCTGGAATTTGGCCTGGTGACCACATGTGGGAGTGGCTCCTCAGACTTCTTTTGTACTGGCAGGTATGTGTGCTGAGTGGTTGAGGGGCTGTGCAGCTGTCAGTGATCCGAGTGTCACTCTACCATTCCTCCCGTACAGTGGACTGGGCTGCCACTACCTGCACTTGGACAAGGGAAGCTGCTCTTCAGACCCTGTGCTGGAAGGCTGCCGCATGTACAAGCCCTTGGCCAACCGGGTGAGTAGATTAGAAAACAGTGAAACTGAATGGACAAAGAGAGGAGTCAACTTCACAGACATCGAGACAAACACTATTCTATCTTCTGCCCTGCTCTTCAGAGTGAATGCTGGAAAAAGGAAAATGGATTCCCAGCTGGGGCAGAGAATCCCCATGGGGAGATCTACCATTCCCAGAGTCGTTGCTTCCTTTCCAACCTCACATCACAACTGCTCCCTGGGGACAAGGTCAGACATCCCTCTCAGATCCCACACCTGAAGGAAGAGGAACTCACTGGCCACTGCTACTTACATCAATGCACAGAGAGGGGAGCCTACAAAGTGCAGTTGGAGGGATCCCCCTGGGTTTCATGCCCTCCAGGAAAGGCTATTCAGGTGGGTGTCATAGGTGAAAAAGCTGTAGCACACTGGCTAAAAGAAATTTGGAAATGTTTGTACAGTGGTACTAACCAAACTACTTTCTGTTCATTTTTTACCAAGTAACCTCTGAGCCCAAGACTCTGATCTAGACTGTACATTTTCTTAGGAGGACTTGAGCAAGTAACTGACTATAACCTGCTACGTTTTCTTGTAGATACCTGGGTACTATGGTCTTCTCATCTGTCCCCGGGGTCGGCTGTGTCAGACTAATGAAGATACAGATGCTGTTACTTCCCCATCTATGAGTCTTTCAACCCAAGCCCTGTTATTCAGGCTGTCTTTCGGATTAGCTGGGCCCCCAGGCCATTCCCTAGGGAAGGAAGAAGGACAAGAGTTGACTGAAGCAATCCTGCAGTCTCTGGTGAGCAGAGGAGGCGCTAGAAGGTAAAAAGGGACAATTCAGACTGAGGCTTTTTATGATGGGCCATAGCGAATGCTTAAGTCCTTTACTTCACAATTGTCTTCTGGAGATTTTCTGTTCATCCCACTCCTAAGCCTGCATGTTTCATGAGATATAGCCTTCCAGGGACTATCGCTCTATTAATAGATCCAAATGTCTATGTAGGTGCTATTTCCACAGCCCTTCAATTACCACTAGTCTGGTGTTCACTGTACATATGTGGAAGCCCCCTGGTTGCCAAGGGCCTTCGGTTGGTATGCTGCACAGGGCCCTGACCCTGACTCTCCAGAAGAAGCCTCTAGAAGTATCTTATGGAGGAGCCAACTTTACCACAGAATACAGCAAGTAAGATAACATTGCATGTAGATTTTTTTTCCCAATTCCTAGTCCAGATGTTTGAAATTGTATTTATTAAGCACCTACTCATGTGTATACATGAGTTTATACAGGGTTATTTCAGGAAATAAGGATCCCTGACATGATTATCTCTGGCCTATCATTATAGGACACCCCTCCCATCATGATAGTGGAGTTCCCCCATCTCTAGGACATAGGGATCCTACCACCCCTTTTTTTAAGCACTATCCAGGCACCAGGTCTAACTACCTAAACACCAGTTTAGCCAACCTTCCCCTTAAGCCACTTCCCTGTCAAGTTAAGTCTCCTTCCAACAATCTAAGATGCTGAAGACTTGGATATTGGTCATATTCCTATTTTCAGGTTCTGTAGTCACTCTTATTTTCTGTTTAGTTTACTGTTTGCATAAAGCAGGGTTTTATGAGCTCTATGTATAATAAAGGTAAAGCCCTTCACCTCCTCAGCCTAGGCATTATTCCAAGCCAAATATTACTTTTGTTCCTAGGTTCCTGGTTACCTCGGGTCATAATTCCTCCATGACCCACCTAGGTTTGTCAGTAGTGCTCTGCCTAATGCTGCTTATCCTGGTGGGTGCACTGGGAACCGTGGCCTATCAGAAACGAGCTACTCTTCAGGTGGGACCATCTGCCCCTTACCATTCATCAGCGCTCCAAAGCCCAAGGGGCTCATTTGGAGGAATAAGGGAGGTGTGATGTTACCCAGAGCATGATGAGGGCAGGACAGATTATTTCTTGGAAGACAACTGGATGGGAGTCAATCTGCTAGCTACACTTAAGTTCTACTTTTCTCAGAATGCCTCTTTTCATACTGGGTTTGCAATGAAAAAACAGGTAGGGACTTATGATTCCAAAGATTCATTCTTTATTTTGATACAAAAAAATAAACCCTTCAACCTCTAAAGAATGTCACTTTTTTTTCATATTGTTATAGAGCAAACTTACAGAATATCTTCTAACAGCTCCAAGGATATCACATATGCTTTTGGAAAAAGTCATTACTATTTGGATTCAAACACACATCAGTGTGGAGGAAGGAATAATTATCTCCCTCTTCTGATTTTTCCATAATTTTTTCTAAATCGTCACAGGAAAAGCTAGTGGTTAGGATGTCACATAATTATGCCTGAATCGGCTAAGGGAGGTGAAACCAGACATCTGAATCCAGCTAAATATAAAAACGTGACCTTTTATTGCTCTTCTCTCCTGCTTCTGGAGTAGGAAGGTTCTACTCTATATCCCCATGGGCCAGCAGTAGGCTTGAGTTATGTGTAGGTGCCTTTTGGTTATAGTTGCAAAAGAAGCCATTAAATTCTTGAAGGTTTGACATCTCCTGGAAAAAAGTAAGCTAGAGGCAGACTGCTACTCTGGATTTGCTTAAATGGAAAACATTTACACTAGTCCAGCGGATGTGCTGTCAACATTGAAATAACCAGGCCCGTACTAGTCAGCAAGCTCAGTCAGTGAATCAGGATACCATCCCCAGACCTTTAAGTGGCACATCTGAAGTTCTCACTGTAGAGTTGTGGCTTCGGCTCCATCAACTATGGTTGTCTTCTTTGACTTTAATGCCTATCAGTCTTTACCAGCTGTAGCAGCCACTGCTTGGTAAAACTTTGCCACGAAGTCTGGCTCACTGACCTCCAGCTGCCTGACAAATTCATTGCGCTCCTCCTCAGCCCAACCTCGAAACCACTGATCCCAAAGACGTAGTTGGCACTCAAAGATACAAGGTGGTCGGTTGGCTCCAGACACACTAAGCTGCTCCAGACCTTCTAGCAATGGCTGTAATTTTCCTGGCACTGCTTTAGTTACAAGGTCTTGTAGGAAACGTTCACGCTGGGGACCTGACCAACTGGCAAACCAGTGAAGAATACACTTCATTTCCTGGGAAGTGATGTAAGACATTAGGGGAAGGGAAGAGTTAATAGAATTGCCTGGCACTGAGGGTAAAAGAGAAGAGAAGGATAGCTGCATTGAAGATGATGATTCCAGTGGCATCCTGAAACATAGAAGCAGTTATATACTCTTTAGAGAGATCAACCAAAATATAACTTCCCAACAACAAGGAATCTTATCACATCCCATCAGCATTTAAAAGAAAATTACTTTGCCTGGCCGGCATAGCTCAATGGTTGAGCATTGACCTATGAATCAGGAGGTTATGGTTTGATTCCTGGTCAGGGCACATGCCCAGGTCGCAGACTCAATCCCCAATATAGGGGGTGCAGGAGGCAGCCAATCAGTAATTTTCTCTCACCAATGATGTTTCTATCTCTCCCGCTCCTTTTCTCTCTGAAATCAGTAAAAATATATTTTTTAAAAAATTACTTTTCACCAATTCAATTTACCAGGAAACAGGGTCCTTTATTTCAGTTGTTATCCAACGACTTTAGAGAAATTTTCCGAGAATAATTTCATTTTATATTTGCCAACCTTCCTCTCTTTTTCAAACCTATTACCCTCCCTAACCACGTTTCCCTCCATCATCCTTATAATCTAAAAATAACCAACACTTTTTCAAATGACCAAAAAATTTTTTTAAAATATATATATTTTTTTATTTCAGAGAGGAAGGGAGATTGAATTCACAATCCAGGCATAAGCCCTGACCGGGAATCAAACCATGACCTCCTGATTCATAGGTCAATGCTCAACCACTGAGCCACACTGGCTGGGCAAGTGACCAAAATTTTTGGACTAAATTCTATTTCATGCATAAGCATGTCTCCCGTTTATTAGACTATAGCAATGAAAAAAAAAAAACAGCCTTGTACAGAACTGTGAAAATGCCAAGGGTGAGGGTAGTTTACAGTTTTACTGTAGGATAAATATATATTTTCTCAAAAAAACCTCTTTTCCTTTGGCCATATCAACTCTCAGTTTAGATAATTAAAAATCACTTCTTCACTTCTCCAAGATGTTTGATGCTATCATGACCAACATCTGGCCATTTTTCCTGAATGACATCAATTATGTCATCTGTAAAGTCTCCTTGAATGATGATTTCATCCTCTTGTTTTTTTGTTTTGTTTTTTGTTTTTTTAAATATATTTTATTGATTTTTTACAGAGAGGAAGGGAGAGGGACAGAGAGTTAGAAACATCGATGAGAGAGAAACATCGATCAGCTGCCTCCTGCACATTCCCTACTGGGGATGTGCCCGCAAGCAAGGTACATGCCCTTGACCGGAATCGAACCTGGGACCCTTCAGTCCGCAGGCTGACGCTCTCTCCACTGAGCCAAACCGGTTAGGGCTCTCTTGTTACTTTGGCACCACAGGAGAATTTTTGAGGGAAAAAAGATATTTGTGCTTCTTTAAGATTAATTTGAAAAGTTGCAAGGCCAAATACTCTTGTTACATACATCTCCTTTGCTCTGGGAATTGTGGCTATGGTAACCTTGAGTTATGTGTAGGTGCCTTTTGGTTTTGTTTGACCCCTTCCACATTAAATTCTTGAGGGTTTGACATCTCCTGGAAAGAAGTAAGCTAGAGGCAGACTGCTACCTTTCCCTGCTGTTCCTTGACCCTCAGTAATTCCAGCTTCTCCAATACATTTCTTGCTCATTTTCTCCTGCCTATTCCTATGTTTCAGACTGAGTAAAGGCAAAAAAAAAACAATTATTAATGCTGGTCTATCACGTCTTCCCTAAATGAAAATAAAAGGAACCTATTTTTTAATCAAGTACATGCAGCTGGTCCGGGAGGAGATACTAATCATTCCAGCAATATCAACAGTGAAGGGGGGAAAAAACATTATATAACATTTATCTATTTATATAAAGGGCTAAGCGACCATCCAACTGGTCACTAGGTATGACGTGCACTGACCACCAGGGGGCAGATGCTCAACACAGGAGCTGCCGAGCTGTGGTCACTTGGCAGTGGCAGTTGTGGGGTTATGCACCCTGGAACGAGAGAGGAGAGAGCCTGATTCTGGGAATGTCACCTGAGAACTGCCTTCTTGCAATTCTGGGACCCCTTGGGCCAAGGGACTCCACCTGCCAGAGGGACCCCAATCACTCCACAGATGCCCATCGAGTTGAGGTGCTGTCCTAGGTGTGGCCAGCTGTGGAGTAACCAAGGGAGGTTGGCTCCAGGGCGTGTTCGGCCCGTCCCACCCTGCCAGACAGCTTCTAATTAATTTCCTTTCAATGTGCACAAATCCGTGCACATGGGGCACTAATACATACACACACACACACACGCACACACCTCCTTTGCAATATGCATATAACTTCTAAAATATGCCAAGAATTTCATAACATCCATTTCTTCCTTATACTTTCTGTAAAGCACCAGGAAAAAATTAACGAGCAGAATAAGTGATGGGCGCCTGGCCCAAAATAAGATAAAAGAGTAAGATAAACAAGAGAATAACCTGTTTATATAAGGCTGAAAAAAGTCTAATTGGTTTGGTGGCTTAAGGATTGAACAGTGTTACTACACTGCTGTAGATGACAATTCATGTCTTTGAAAATTTGTCCTTAATGTTTAATATAATACCTATTGAGCCCAGGGGAGGCAGCTCAGTTGGTTGTAGCATCCTCCCATGGCAGATTCGATTCCTGGTCACCACACAGGTTACAGGTTCAATCCCTGGTCAGAACACGCTTGGGAAGCAACCTATCGATGTTTGTTTCTCTTTCTCTCCCTTCCTCTTTCTAAAATCAAATTTTAAAAAGTTGATATAATACCTATTGATGCCCTGACACTGATTTGTATCACTAATGCAACTAGGTCAGCCAACCTGAATAGTTTCCAAGGCCCATAATTGAATCTCCAACAATGAAAACCTTAAACTACTATTGTATATGAGCTATTTTACTGTTTGTATTTCTTCTACTGAAAATTGGATTATTTGCAGTGAGAAAGAAAGGAACCCCCGAGCAATAACATCAGTTCAGTACCAAAACAGTCCTGAGAAAGGCTGTCTTTTTTCAGTGGCCTTAACAGGAAGCAATTCCTCAGAAAGGAACTTTACTCTCCTTTCCGGGGAAAGGGAGAACTTTTCCCAAGTCTTGGCTTCCATGGCAAACTCAAGTTCAGTGATCATGAATTACTTCAATCTGAGTCCGAAGACACGGTGCTGCCACTTGCCCACTTTGGAGGCCACCAAGCCTGGCATTTCGAAGTATGAAAGAACATCGTAGCCTTAGATGGGAGTGGTGGGGATTTAATAGGATGGGAGGCGGCAACTGTTTCCGTAGAAGAGCGGGAGACTTGCCCTACGAGGGTGACCCGCAAACACCGAGTCTCACCCAGCCCAGGGAGGGGTTTCTACCCCGCTTACCTCCCCTTTCCTCTCACAGGGCACCGAGAGACCATCAGAGTACTTAGGCTCCAACTATCGCCACCGCTTCCATGTTTCCTGAAAACCCTAAGCAGGGCCAGCCAGGCAGCCCACGCACTTCCGGTCCCGGACCAGCTCCAAACACCCAAGCGCCTCAGCGCCTCAGCTTTAGGTCCGAAGAGAGCCGAATGATTCCGATCATGGTTATGCCAAAGTCGAGGGCTTCCGAATAGATTCGATTCAAAGCCTCGGTGAAACGGAGATAACCGAGTTCTAAAAGCAGGGCGAGGGAGGGGGAGCATCTAGGAGGATGGAGAGAACCGATTGGTGCCGATGTGGAGACGGAAATACCCGAGCAGTTCCGGAGGAACCCGGAGAGTTCTGAGTGGTAATCGAGGGGTTGACTACAGCAGTGGGCGGGGTCAGATCGGTACGTTCGAAGGGCGTTGGCGGAAATTACCGAAGATGCCCGAAGCCGTCGGGACGGACCCGAGTACCTCACGCAAGATGGCGGATCTGGAGGAGGTGACTCTGGACGGGAAGCCTCTTCAGGCGCTACGGGTGACCGACCTGAAGGCCGCACTGGAACAACGAGGCCTAGCCAAGAGTGGGCAGAAGAGTGCCCTGGTCAAGCGGCTCAAAGGGGTGAGGAGACGGCTTTGCCGGGGTGTCGGAGGGGAGCGGACCCGGTAGAGACGAGTCTCTGCCGCGGCGCAGGCGCAGTGTCCGGGCTCGGCGCGAGCTCGCTCAGGCCGCCAGCGCGAACCTCCGGAGCCGCGCGCACGGTGGTTGGCGAGGCTCGCATTGAAATTGAGATAGCGCCGGTTCCCGCCTTAACGGCAGCGGCGCGAGCCCAAAATGGGAGGGTGCGCGCTACTCTCCCGGAGTGTCTTAAGCTCCTTCCTCCTTCCCCCACCCGCTCCTTGTTTGTGTCTGTGGTTTCGGCGCATGCGCTGCAGAAGGAGTTAAATCCCACTACAACCACCGGCGTTGCTGGCTTGAGGGGGGGGCGGGTTGGGCTGGGTCGGAGTTAGGGGTATAGTTGGGCGGAGGGGTTGATGGGCTTGGTACCGGTATCCAGAATAATAGGATTGGAGTAGAGTAAAAGTGTCTCTTTATATTAGGTGAGGTGAAGAGAGTCCTTAATTTGAAGGGACATGGTTAGAGAGGGGTGTATAATTAATAGGGCATTCAAAAGCAATTTGAGTAGGTTGGAGTTCGGTGAATGTTGGTAAGAGGTGAGGCAGGTTGGTATATGTTGGGGATTTTGAATCGGTTTGAGTAAGTTGGGGTGGGATCATCATGCGGTGGATGGGTGGATTGGTGTGTATAGGTTTGTGTGAATGGAGGGAAGGTGAGGATGTCTTGGTTTTAATTAGGGTTAATTAGGATATGTGGTGGGTAGTATTAGGGCTGGGTTGGCTCAAGGGTTAAGTTGGCAGACCGTTGCTTATACACAAGCTGACATTTCTTGTGCGCGCGGGTGTGTGTGTGTGTTGGGTTAGAGCACAGTTTACAGAGTCTGAGCTCATTCTGTTCTGTAGCCTCCTTTTTGAAAATGTTTAAACTTGATAAATCTACGTGTCACTCTTTTGAAAAGAATCTCGAGTAGATCTAGTCCTGGGGAACTGTTTGACGTAGTAATTCAACCAGCCCACAGCCAGTAGCCCCATGTTGGTTTCATGTGTTTGAAGCTGATTTGAGTATTTGAAGTAATTTTACCAGATTTAGAAGGAGCCCTAGTCAGAAGTGCAGAAGGTAATAAATAGGGATTATAGCACTGGTTCTGTCACTGATTTTGTTACATAGCCAAGTCCCTGATTGTCTCTTGTGTGCCTACATTTTACCTCTGTACATTTGGGAGCAGTAACCATGGCTACCTTTAAGGGTCTTCTGAAGATAAATGAGAACAGTATTAGTGAAAGGCTTTAGGTCCCTGGAAGGTACAGTTTAAGTGTGTATGGTTAGTCGTTGCACTTAATGAAGAGATTGAGGGAGGGGTGGGTTTTTGTTTTTTCTTCTTCTCTGTTTTCTGACTTTTTGCCCTTTTCTATACCAGGCTCTAATGCTAGAAAATTTACAGAAACACTCAACGCCCCATGCTGCATTTCAGCCAAATTCCCAGGTAAGGAAGAAGGTTCATTAGATGGGGTAGGCTCTTTGGATGCACAGATACATGGAAGGACACGATGTATATTTGATGCTTAATTCCTTACCAATATTTCCTAAGTTCCCTGAGTTGGAAATGTTCTCAGACCAGGGCAGTTGAATTCTAATAAAGAATTCAAGAACAGAATCAGAGGAGCTGTTAGTTGATTTCTGATACTTGAAATGGTGTGTGCAGAAAAAATGTGGCTCCAACTGATTAAGCGTTGTACTGGGATCTGAAGTCATTTATTTGCCATTGATTTGGGGAAAATAGTGGTCTTTGAATGTAGATATAATGTAAGGAAAATGCTTGGCTAAGATTTTCCAAGAATTCAATCTTTTGGAAATCATCCACCATTAAAAGTGTTAATACTAACCATAAAGTTACTCCTAAACATTATTAATTGCTCTGTTACTTAGGGCAAGATAATTAACCTTTGAAAGCCTTGGTTTCCTCAACTTCCCTGTGTATAAGATAAAGAGGTTGAACTAGACCCATAGCACTGTAACTGCTCTGCTGGGGTTTTGTGGAGCTGCTTTTTGAGGGCTTCCGAGGGAAGATACCTTTTCCCAAGTAAGGAGAGATTCACACTCCCCTCTTAAACTAGATTAGATCTATTTTTATCTGGTTTGTATATTGAGTTTTTGCATAAGATTTTTTTAGAAGAAATCATCCCACAGTTTAAAAAAACAACAACCTTGAAAGCTAATATTTTAGCTCTGTCTTAGACTGTATGATCTTTTAATATTCTTTTCCATTTTAAAATCTCATCATTGTAGTGTGTCATGCACTTAAAGGAAAAATCCAGATCTTTGTTATTGCAGTGGTGTGCAGCTCCAGTACTAGATGAAGTCCCAAGATACTCTGGAAAAATTCTTACTCCCTTGTTATCACCTCATTAAGCTGTCTTATAATATAGCCTGTTCACAGAGATTTAGTTAAGCATAAGACACTGCATAAGTTAATCAGTTTATGATTATATTCCTTTTGCGTTTTAGTCTTTGAAGCTTTGCTTTTATTAATTTTTGCAGTAAATACATATAGTCTCTAATACATGCAACCCACACTTCATCAATGTTCATTGAGTACCAAGAAACTCATCTTACTTTAGGTGAAAGCAAACATTTACTATGCTTAGGAAAGATGACTAGTAACATAGAACATATTTAGTTTTTTTTTTTCCTTTTCCTGGAGTTCTAAAAGCATTTGTCAAGCAAGAAGGCTCTTGGGTGGAGGACTTGTGGAGAGAAAGCTGAAGGGCAGAAGAGTGATGTGGGAGTCTGTGTTGCAAAAAAAAGTATGGGAAGGATTAAGCGACTGCATTTTAAATATTGTTACCAAGTATTATCACCCAAAGAAAGTGGAGTTAGAACCCTGTCTAAAGCTGAATGGATATCCCTTTATGTAGTCTCTTGCTTTCATATTTTTTAAGTACTATACTTGAATTTTGGAGATGTTTGTTAAACTGTTCCCTAGATAGGTAGAGCTTGGTCTTTTGTTAACAATAAAAGATGAAATAGTATGACCTAGTATTTTCCCCTTTTATTTCTTGATATTACTAAAAAAATTAGATTATTTTTAGATACTATTTCCTATTATCTAAAAATTCAGATTAAAAGACATTTTACAGGAATTTTTATTACTTTTAAGTTGTGCATCGCTTTTTGGATGGGAACTGAATATTTGAAATAAGAAATTATGGCCCTAACTGGTTTGGCTCAGTGGATAGAGTGTCGGCCTACGGACTCAAGGGTCCCAGGTTCGATTCCGGTCAAGGGCATGTACCTGGGTTGCGGGCACATCCCCAGTGGGAGATGTGCAGGAGGCAGCTGGTCCCTCTGTAAAAAAATCAATAAAATATATATACTTAAAAATATATATATATACTTAAATATATGTATATATACTTAAAAAATAAAATAAGAAATTATGTGCCGTTCCTCTTTTTGCCATTTTATGTGAATCATGGGACCGTTTATTTTGATCTTCAACATAAAAGTCGCTTAAAAAGAAGCCGTCCAACATTTTAATCATCTTTCTTGAGTCCAGATATAAGGGATAGACCTTTGCTCCATGGAATTTTCTTCCTTGCATTTTCCTAGTTTGCTTTCCTAGACTTTTTTTTTTTCATGTCCTCAATACAGATTGGCGAGGAAATGAGCCAGAACAGTTTCATAAAGCAGTATCTGGAAAAGCAGCAGGAGCTACTTAGGCAGCGTCTGGAACGTGAAGCTCGAGAAGCTGCAGAACTTGAAGGTAAGCCCAGACTGTCACTTCTTACAAGGAGTTCTTCATTCTTGTTCCTGTAACTGAGTAGATGGGCCTGTTTAACTAGGCAATTTCAGGAATAAGTCAGCCTAAGACTATTTTATTTGCTTTGGTAGTTTATGCCAAGTGAGTTACTATTTACCTTTTGTCAGGGAAGAAGACAATTTGACTATCTTACTAGAAAAGGATTCCTGCCAACAGGAAGAGTAATAAGTAAATTAAGGCACCCTTTTAGATGAGGAAGAGCTTAATCCTAGGGAGTTTTTCTCTATGTAAAGCACTCTTTTTAGTATATACTCTATCCATGACTTTGCCTGATCTCCTTCACTCCTTTACATATTCCCACATGCTGAGCGCTTCACTCCCTCCCTGCCCCGACCCAATCTGTACTTTGCAGAAGCTTCAGCTGAGTCGGAGGACGAGATGATCCATCCTGAGGGAGTGGCTTCCCTGCTGCCTCCTGACTTTCAGAGCAGCCTGGAGAGACCAGAGCTGGAGCTCAGCAGACATTCGCCCAGTACGTATCTCCCTCCCCACTGCGCAATTTTGTCAATCCTGCGTAGTTGGTGGGGGGAGGTAGTTACACCTCCTTTCATTCTAAGCCTCCATTAAAGTCCCAGGGAAACTCTGTGACTTGATAGTTGACATGTTTTTCATGGAAATTATGTCCTTTTTGAAGTCTGCTTTCACCTCTGTTGTGTTAACCGCTCAGAATGTTTTGTATGGTGGTATGATTTTTCTTCTCATCTCTACCTCTTTAACCTTTTCTACCTCTGAATTTAGCAACAGTCACGACTTTCTTTTACCTCTTTATCAATTATATATATTTTGAGTTGCACATCCAGTCATCCCCTCAAAGGGCATCTGCTGCAGTTTATTAATTCATAATTGTTATTGAACACCTGTTTACACCAGGCATGTACAAGGCACCAGGAATATAGGAGAGAAATATAAGTCTCTGCCCTAA